TACAATTAAGAAAATTACAAATATAGTGTTGTAATAGTATATCCCAAATATTGTAGATATTGTAAAGATATGATTGAGTAAAGTACTATTGAGAGTAAAATGGAAAAGGTGTACTTTTTGTTTAGCTATAGTTAGATATATTTTTAAAATTTGGATAATGGAATTACATTGTTGTGAAGCCAATATTTGGTAGTTGGAATAATAACATTGTTGATAATGTAAGTAATTTGTTTGTCAGTTATGTTTTTGGTACCTGCAATGTTGGCTAGTTGGATAGCCTCCTCTTGAATAAGTTTAATTTTTACAGATTGCTTGTTGTTGAGAGTAAACCAACAACCAAGAAATTTAAAGAGCTAGTGAGAGGGAACTAATTGCAAATTGGAGTTAAAAAATAAGATATTGAAGAAAGATTGTGTGGTTATAAATAGGGATTTGGTAGGATTAACTTGGATATTAGCCATAGAATAGAAGGAGGAGGCAGTTTGAACAATTTTTTCAAGTTGTGTTTTGGAATTAGCAACTTATAGAGTATTATCCATATATGCAAGAACAGATATAGAGGTGTTAAGGTAGTTTGTGGAGTGGTAAATAGAACTAGTTGAGTAGGAAGTAGAAAGAGTATATTCAGAAAAGTGTGAAGAGATTTTTGAGATCAGAGGGTCTTAATAGATTCTCCAAAAGAGTGGAGTGATAGTTTTCTCTTAGTCGATTCTATTTTTAACAGAGTTTGTAAGACCAAGATTGGTAATAACATGGTTTGTATATTTGAATAAGAGGTTGGTTAGAATATTAATAAGTTGTTGAGGTATTTGGATTTAGTGTAATAATTTTTGAAATAATTTAAAGTTGACTGAGTTATAGGCTTTACTCATATATTGGAAGAGAAGCCATAGTTGGTTTGAGTTGCAGTTTGCATCTTTGATAATATTATTCAGAATATAAATAGGTATTGAGATAGAGTTGCTATGAAGTGCAACAAAGTTGAATAGTAATAGAATATTGTGTTAAGAGAAGGTTAGATTGAGTCTGTTAGTAAGAAGTTTAGTGTATAGCTTTTTGATATGTTTAACTAAACTAATAGGTCATTGGATAGGTTTTTTTCAAAGATACATTTTTTGAAAATAGGGAATATGCATCCTTCTTTCCATTGTTTGGGTATAGTTTGGGAGAAGAGGCAATAGTTGAAAAGGGATATTATAGTGGTATTGAAGTTGAGGCCTGTATATTTAAGCATTTTATAACTAATACAGATAGGCTATAGGCTTTATTATTAGGAAGTTGGTTAATAGTTAAAATAACCTCTTCTTCTGTGAAGTTAATCAAGGTGTGAGAGTCTAGAAAGAGCTAATGTTTGGTTTGGAGTTGTATTCAGTTTGCCATTGAGAGTTAAAAATCTCAGAGTTAATATGCCAGGGTGCAGTTCAGTTGTTGAAATATTGTTGAATATTAGATTTAATAGCTATAGGGTTAGTAATAACATCATTATTGAGTTGAATATTTTGAAATTTGACTAGATCTTTGTGTTGATTAAGAATGCTATTGATCATTGAGATAGGATGAGTTTGGAGTTTAGAACATCTTTTATTAATAGCAGTAATAATTTGTTGTCTAATTTCTTTGATATTCTCAATATTATGGGCATTATAAAGTTTCTTCTACTTGGAGTTAGCATCAGTAATCCAAGAAGAAAGAGATTGGTATATTTGGGGAAGTGTAGGAATATTTAAGTTGAGAGATTTATTAAGGAGTGAAATATAGTTGTTAAGATATGTAAAAATAGGTATGTAGTATTTTAAAGTATTTTTGGTTTATCAAATAATATTGACAAGTTTTTTAAGACTAGAGTGTAAGTAAGTAGCTTTGGAAGAGAATGTGTATTGAAAATTATGAATAGTAAATTTTTTATTAGGTATATGCTTGAGAGCAGCAGAGATTATACTGTTGTGAATTTTGTGCCAAGTAGTTTTAAAAGATTCTGCAGTATTAGTTAAGGAAAGTGTATAGTTAGAGTGAAGATTGGTGTTTATTTGGTTAGAAAATTCTTTTTATAGTATAGAGTTTATGGCTTTGTAGTTAAAGATTTATTAATTTGTGCATGTTTTATATTTGATTGGCTATATAAAGCATAAGAAAAGGACTAGTGAGAGATAAGGACTTTATAGTCACTAAGTGAGCTGCTGTTAGTATTATCAGTATTAAAGGAGGTAAGATAGGTTAGGATTGTATAGTAGGCCCAAATAAAATCAATTTCACTACTGTATCTAGAGCTGAACTATGTAGAAGAAGAGGACTCAGTATGTGTAGCAAGGTTGTACATGTTATTGTAGGTAAGAAATTGAAGAAGTTTGTATTTGATAGAGAATAAGTAGATATTATTTGTAGAGGCATTAAAGTCTCCAAGTATGATAGAAAGTAAATTGAGAATATAAGTTTCTTGAAGCTATTGAATGATTTTTTTTTGGGTTTGAAGTTGAGTAGAAGAGTTGTCACTAGGAAGATAGATTGAGAAGATACAGAATTTAAAGTCATGTTTGAAGAACAAGTTGATTAAAATAGCATAGCCAGAAATATAGGAGATGTTATGAATATGAGAAGTTAAAGAGTTGCGTATCATGATAGTAGTTCTTGCTTTGGAGTATACAGGATCAAAAGTAGGTATAATATTGTGTTTTGAGGGGTTTTGAAGTAAAGTTGCTACTAGCTAGTTTTGTTTCAGAAAGACAAATAATATTCAGGTTGTTGGATAGACAGTAGTGTTCCAAATCTGTTGTTTAAGGTTTTTGTTAAAACCTCAAATATTGTAAGTACATATAGAAAGATTGAGAGAGTTAGGAGGAGTGAAATATTGAGTTTGAGACTTTAGTGTAAGGATTTGCAAAAATTACACTTTGATAAGGTACAATTTCATGATCAGGGAGTGGATAGAGCTTATGTGGTGCATAAATATGTACTTCACTGTAGTTAGATTTAATTGAAATTATAAGTTGATCTTGTAAGTTATTCCAAAGGCTATGTTTAATTAGATGAAAAAGGAATGAGTTAATTGTTTGGGAAGATGAAAGATGTGGTAAGTTGAAGTGTTGGAGGAATTTGTCAAAACAGGTTAAAAGGTTACAAGAGTTTGAAGATATTGGAAGTAACACCTCTGGGTTGTCTTTTTCAAGAGCACTTACTGTATACCCAGCTCACATAGTTCTGCAAGAAGTAGTATTACTCAGATTATGCGTTAGAGAACTGTGTTTGTCTACTTCATACAATATTGTAGTTTATATAAAGAATAACAACTTTATTATTATATTTTTGATGATTTATTAATAAAAATTAAAACTTGTATTAGAAGCAAAAATTTTTTTAAAGATGAAAATATATAAAAATTTAGAAAATTTAAAGAAAAATTTTATAGTAAAAATTTTTAAAGCAAGAGCTTTAAATTTTTATTACTCTAAAGATTTCTAGCAAAATTAAAAAAATTTCATAATAAAGCTTATAGAATATATTTTAAATAAAATATTGTATATATAAAATATACCTCATATTATTAATAATTTTTAATTTTATTTAAAAAATTATAAATACTTTTCAAAATTCTAGGCAAATTTATCTGAAAAACAGTTTAAGAAATAATTTTTTCAATCTTAGTTATATAATTATAACAATTACTAAGTGCAGCATTATATCAGAATTATACTGTAATTTCAATTAATACCTTATATCTATCTTTTTTACTTCAATTATAAAAATAAGAAAACTTTAATCATAACTTTTAGGTAATTTGTATTTATTTTTAATATTTTGTATATATAATTTCATACATTATACATGCATATTTAATATAAAAATATAATATATATATTTTTGATAAACAGTTTGTATATATTATATATTATTTTATTAAATTTTTTTTAGCAAAATTAATTGTAAGATTCAATACGACAATATGATAAGATAGTGATATTTATTAGGTTTTATTTAGATATATAAAACATATAGCATCTTTATACTTGAAATTTCCTACAGTATTATTTCAATGCTATATATAATATATATGCTTTTTTACTACAGAAATATTCCATTTTTATAAAGCACAGAGGTTTGACCTATGCCAGAATTTCAAAAGTTTGAAATCATTTTCAAATGCTAAATTATAGTATAAAAAATTAGTAAATTAATAAAATAAAATCTAATAAAATATATAGTACTTGCAAGGCCTCTATAAATGATATTATTATTGTGCAATAATAAAAAACTAAGTGCTTTTCTTTAGCAATATATAGTTTATTTGTCTATTGCAATTTTAAGTTTGCTTTTAAATATTCTCATATGGTAAATTTCTATTAGAATATTATAAATCTATAATATTCACTGTTATATAGTTATTTATATTAAATATTAACTAATCATATTGAGAGAATATTTGTGGATACTCTTAATCTACATGCACAAATGAGAATACTTCAAAATATATATCTTAATATATTATTTATCTTTGAGCTACTAAAAAAGTATATAGAGTAATATATATCTATAGTTTCTTTAAGTTGATTTTATATTATTTGAGAAGCGCTTGGGTGAATCAGCATTATGAACTTGTAAATTTGGTGCTTGTGAAGTAGTGTGATTCGGTTTTTGTGGAATAGTATTATTTGGTTCTTGTAAAACAGTATAATTTGGTTTACTTGCAAGATCTAGAACATGTTAAATCTTAAATAATAATAATAATAATATTAATAAAATAAAATCATAATAATATAATATACTTATATATATCACAAAGCCTTTCTGAGTAGCCAAAATTTTCTGGAGTTCTATAAACTTGCTGAATTTGATTGGTTAATATATGTAAATCTATAAGTTATTATAAATTTTTATATCTGATCTTAAAAAATTTATATTTCACTAAGTTTTTAACCAATTTTAATATTTACTACCTAGGGCTTGGATCTGGTCATCTATTTATCCACTGAGACAATTATCTGTTCAATTCAGTCATATATAGATAATTATATAATTAATCTGATTATTTCCGGATAATTATCTGGATATCTAATACCAATATAACGATTAGCATCAAATCCAATTTCTTTTACAGTTTCCTTTATATTATTAAAAACTTTAATCAGTGTTGAATGCTGATAAGGACATGGATTGTGTCTCCAACCCACCTAATCGAAAACCTTTGATTCAATATAAGTGCAAGAGTCCTTAAACATAAATTGAAAGGCCATTAATCTCAGACGTTTAGCAAAAATTTTTACCTATTTATTTATTAATTAATTCGTGCCAGACATGTAAAGTGCAAGATTTTTTATTATTATTATAGCACAAATTATTTCTATTATTATTTTTATTCTATACTACAGTTATTAAATAAGACATCACTTTGTCACAGAAAATAAGTCTTTTTGAATTTCATTCAATTCATTAGAATGTAATTTGATCTTTAAGGAATAAACAATAAATTCTAAGAAAAATAAAAGCAATTAATAGATATGGCTCTTAATGATTAATAACAATAATAATAACGATAAATAAGTTTAATTTCGAACCAGATATCTTATTAGATAAATTCGATTAATTCGGATTAACAGTTATCGATTTATCGATCAGATAAATTATTCGAATTAAGTGTTTTATCTACTTACATTCGGATAAACAGATGAACAGATCTAAGCACTATTACTACCATTAAAATCGGAAAAACCTACTCTACAAACTTTTTTTAAGAATTAAAATTAGTTTACTTAATACGATTTTAAATATAAAAAAAAATTTGCCATTAAGTTTATATATAATTTTAAAATAGTACCCCTACCCTTAAATTAAATTATATAAATATGTGGTTATATGTTGTGCAGTTAGGACGGTGTAACTACATAACTATAGTAATTGTCGCGGCTGATGCTGAAATTTAGGGTCCCATTTAAATTTATAATACCTACTAAAATTCAAATATACTTTTTTACTAACCACATTAACTCTAAATCCTAACCTAACAAAAATTCCCAAAAATTTTAAATTTCATAACAAAATAGGTCAAAATTTCAGCAGCGACAATTAGAAAACTGGGAAAGATAATTATTTTAAAAATAGTTACTATACCTAAGTTTTTTGTAGTTTCGAAAAAAAAGTACAGTAGTAATATAGATTTTACTAGGATACAATTGTAATTAATAAAACGCAGAACTTCATTTGGTATTTTTAAATAACATTTTTTTTTTTAAAAAAAAAAAGAAAAAGATGTTATTGGTTATCATAGTGCTTTCAAATTAGTTCACTACGATCTGAAATATTGTTACTTTATTTATGAATAAATAATTTGAGGGTTTAAAAATAAAAATCCTCAAGGTTCACTATCATATTTACGGTTAATAGAACGGATCAAAAAAATGATAATGAAATAATCCAGTACAACAATTTTTGGAAGCTAATAAGATCAAATAGAACCGATTAAACAATTTTCAGAAATCAGTACAGTAGAAATCAATATATGGGGCGTCAGTAGAAACCAAGCATCTTGTTTCTAATTGAATTTTTTCAGACTTTAAATTAAAATAGCTCAACAACTATTAAATTAAACTTAATAAATTTTTTTTTTTTAAATTTTATATAGTTATAGAATTAAAATAAAAAACAAATTTATAAAGCTTGGTTTATAGTTGACAAGATATATATATATTTTTTTTCGATTTTTTCTGGAAAACCAGGACGCCGGTGGCGTACTTTGACAAGATATCTTAATTTAAAGTTTTAAAAAAACTCACTAAAAACAAGATGCTTGGTATCTACTGACAACCCATATATTTATGAGCATGCACTTAGGAAAATGACTATAATTTATTTTTTTAGCTATTAAAAATTTCTACAATATTAAACTCATTATATTATACATAAAATATTTACTTCCCACTTAGTCTATAAACTTTAGATTATATTCTTATCATTTGTGTTTTATTAATCGTTTCCTGGGAATAAGAAATCTGTAAAATCAATTTTATCTTTTTTTTATTTTTTTTTTTTGAACTTCTCTCTTTAAAAATTTTAAACTTTTATTTGCATTTAATTGAATAAAATGATTGAAGTTACCAATATGCTAAACTTAAAAAAGCGAGTTTTCACAAGAATAGCCTTTTTAATTTTATATCTAAATTAAAAGTTGCTAAACTAAGTATTTAATTATAAAATTACAAATGAAGTTTAAAGATAGTATTGACAATCTAATCCACTAATAACAGTTAGCACCAAACCATAAAACACTGGAGTATATCAAGAAACGGTAAAAGTACTTTTCTAAATAGTTATTAGGCGAAACATAGAGGCTTTGCATTGACAAAAGTCTTGACTTTACCAAAAAATTCTAAAAAGATGAAATGCGAAATTGATGAAAGTAGTAAAAATTGTAAATGAAGTGAGAGGCTGTAAAACTTATAAGAGGCATCGAAATGAAAATAAATACAAATATTATTACTACATTTCTATAACCAATTGGGTGTTTTAATAATTTTATTTCTTTATATAATAAGTTAGTGAATGATATTTGTTACATGATAAGCACCGCAACTTGATAAAAAGTTTCTATGAAGTGTTTGAATATTTTTTTTTAATAAATCCACCTTATTAAGATCACATAAAGTTATTCAAATATCCAATCCTTCTCAGCACATTAGAGTTATATATGGGAGGTTTATCTAACAAGATTGTTTAAAGAAACTTTTTATGTTCATAATGCGATTTCTTATGCATTATCTTACATATCTGATTTTTGGAGCATATTAAGAAGTATTTCGTCATTTTGCTAGATAGGCAATAAAGCAGATTGTGGTAGTTCTTCTGCTATTTTACAAAGCAGAACAATTGGATTCAACTCTTATTCAGATCCGTTTATCCACCGGTCAGGCAATACGTCAAAAATTTAAACCGCTTTTGTATCTGACCCCTTCATTTAACTATTAGTAAAAACGAGTCATGCAAAAATTTTCAATGGCGTTACCTTTTCCACGAAAGATATTTGGGGTGTTACACATTAAAAACAGCCCTTTTTACATTTAAATCATTTTTAGTAAATCTGGTTTAAATGATCTATATAGTATAGTAATACATATAACATTTTTTACTTCAAGTTCATTTTTTTGTGGATCTTTTTACTATATAATTAGCTTTTATTATTTATGACAAACTTTTAATTGAATAGTTTCTATTCGAAAATAAAATAAAATAAAGTTTCAAAAAATTGTAAAAAAGGGTTATTTTAATGTGTAACACCCCATTTAGTAATGATGAGATAGATTTGACTGGTTTAGTCACTAAACACTGGGATGTTAGATATACTTTCTATTTCGCACAATTCTATCACTAAAGATGATTCATGTGGTGACGAAATAGTGGCAATACGTAACATAGGTAAATTGTTGCCAAATATTCATAATCGATTCGCTGGACATCAATGCCCTTTAAATTTGCCGCAGTAGTAGTTACCTATTTAATTTGTATAGCAAGGACACTATCCAAATTTAACTCAGCACAAATATTACAAAAGTTTTCAGATGAATTTTTAGTTAATTTAGGTAATTTTTTTTTAAAGTTTGACGTCAATTTATTATTTAGAATTTGTTCTTTATAGAATGGCCATGGGTAAAAAAAGGTAAAGATGGACTGACTGATTTTATAAATATATATGATTCGAAAGTTATGTATCTTGCAAGGCTAAGAAGTTAGCTCGAAGCAATAAATTTTCATTTTAATCAATTATTGAAAGTGACTTATTTTGTTTCATAATCTTTTATACATACGTATATTTGGAGAATTTAGTTGATATTGTATTCATGATACATATTATTTATTACTAATATTTAATGCCATGTAAAAAAAATATTAATATTCGGACAAAATTTTTTAATTAGACCCCATGTGAACTTAAACTATAATTTAAATAAAATACGTATCAAAATTCTTCACTTTATATAATTCGTAAATATATACATTTGCTGTAGAAAATTAAATATCTTGATACTGGATATACATGCATTGCTGATAAAGAACCAAGGTAAATCTCTATATAATCACACTTGGGATACAAAACAGTGTAATTGTAAAGAAATGTGACAATTATAAAAGTCAAATTTATTATATTTAATAATAGATTGTTTTTAAAAAAAAAGTGCTTATATAAGAGGTGACTATAGAGAGGTTTGGCTGTATATAATATAGATTTTTACGTAAAATTCTGGGTAAATGCAAGCCCGTATTAAACATTATCCGGCAAACTCATATGATCATGAAAAAATTTCTTTCTGTTATTTTTTTCATGTGTTACGATATAATTATGTTATTCCAATATTCAAAAAATAAAACTCAGCGAGCGACTCCCTACCAATCATGATCATAAATTGCCGGATAACACCATTATTGGGCAAATTGTCGAATACGGTAATTTGGCAAATGATTGGCTACACGTGCCGCAAAGCGGCACGTGCTCATTTGCCAAATTGCCGTTATTCAACAATTTTTGCCCAATAATGTATACTTACTAGCCAGCCAGGCCTACAGCAAAATTAACATCTACAATTTGTTAAGCTAAAACACAAAACGCATGTAGCTAGGTCTGAAAATTTTTCAAAATTAGATAGATAATGTAAATCAGCTAATAAACTGATCAAAACGTGGCTATTGAAATAACTTTGTATCACCTTGACTAAACATATTGTCCGTCGCTACGCTTCAAGTAATTAAAGCTTGTATCTTATTTGGAGCAAGATTTTTTTTTTCCTTTAAAATAAAATGGATTCGAAAAGACTGACATTCTTGGTTACAATTATCAAAATGGTATTGACGTTGAGAAAGACGAAAAGAAGGCCTTTGAATATTATATGAAGGCAGGAAATTCGGATGCGATAAATGATATTAGTATTTGTTACCATTATGGAATTGGAGTAGAAATAAATTACCTGAAATCATTTGAATACTATGAAAAATCTGCTAATATGAGTTATAAAACAGCAAGATTGATTTTGCTCTATGTTATCGAAACACAGAAGGTAAATTATTAGATCAAAAATATATGAGCAATTTGAAAACAAATAAGTCACCAGATCATATTGATCCTGAACTTAAGAAAATATCAAATGATAAGAGATTTAAAATATATTGGATTGAATACAAAAAGTTCAGAGTTATCAAGGAATGGGGAAAAGATGGATTCGCGACAGTATATAGGACAAATTGGTACGAC